GATTTACTTACTAGATTATGGTAAGCATGGTTGGAAATTTTCGAAAAACATATTATGAGTATGATATCCTGGTAGTTCCAAGATATAGCCTCTGAATTTTTTCAGCCAAAATTTTATTCAATTTCTCTTTTGACAAATATAGTGGAGCAGGCCCAAACTTTTGGCAGCAGCATAATAAAATAATAATTTTAAGCTTGAAGGATACAAAGGGAAATATTTAGAAGGAGTACATTTAGGTTTAACAAGGCAGTATCTGGATGCTTCGGGACAAATTCGAAAACCGCGCGAAAGCATCGGAATGCGAGGAACTCTTCGATACGTTAGCCTCGAAGCCCACGCTCGGCACGACCTTGGTCCAAATCACGATCTGGTCGCACTGCTGTACTCCATAGTGAGTAGTAGGAAGAGGAACATTCTAACGCATCTGATTTTATGAAAGAGCATTTACACCAATACTATCTCTCGCCTGCAATGAGTTGCCTCAGTCAAGACTCTTAAGATTTGGTTACGTTGATGAGAGATGGTTTCGAATGCTTTGATTCAGATTGAACTCGGAGATGGAAGCCTTCCTTGGAGTAAAATGCGAGAAGAAAGTGCTATAAGGGATAGCAAAAAGGAGACTACTGTGGAGAAGTTGTGTCAAAAACAGCCAAAAATGTTGAAGATGGCCGGGGTAAAGTGCAGCAAATTTTACTTAGTTCCATACAAGTCTCCCTTTCGCTATTATCACATGATGGTATTTTGCGTGGAGATAATTTAGACCAAAGTCAACCCAGTTTACGATTTATTGATTTGTTTGGGGTGTCTAATTCTTTGAAAAGTCGCATTCCACTGCATTATTTGTCACAAATTGAAACTTTTTTCTGCCTGACATTAAACAGATAGTCAGATAAGTTTGGAAAGATCCCAAACCTCTTAAAAGTTAATCTTCACACAATTTCTAGCTTTATCATCGTGCTACCTCATATTGCGGTGCTAAATCTTCAGGGTCACGCATATTAGTTGCGAGAGTTTGCAGATATTCCCTTTTTTAAGACAGAATGTGTCATATTGTAGCTATGGTATGGAGTTCTTACTCCATTCATAATAAATGTTCTCAGCAGGTCAAAGAAATCTTTGGGTTGGTTTTGGAAATTGAGGGGGTCGAAAGCGTTTACAAAATCATTCATACCTTGACCGATTCGTTTTTTCGGCCTCACTAAATGAGCATTACGTAGGCTGCAGTTTCCTTTT